CATGGCTTATATGAAAATTGCACAAGACAGCTAACTGAAATACCTCATAACATAAATAACATAATTATGTCTCTAGTCACGGAACTACAACACGTAGACCGGACAACCCTGGTAGTTTATACAACTCAAGCTACAAGTACTAACATCAATGTGGCATGGACAAACCTCATGCTCACCAAATAAGGCAACAAAGCCCAAAAAAGAGTCTCAACTCAAATATCAATATAAAGACAGAAAACATAAACAGCATCCAATATCCAGTCATGTCAGCATACAGCATATATAATCAGCTAAGATCCGGCCTCCTGCCGCCAGAGGTCTCAACTGTCGCATTACCTGAACCTGAAATATGTGCCCCAAACGTGGGGTGAGATCTCAAAAAAGAAATCTCAGTAAGACAAGGGGTCCTCAAGGATCTTCCACTCCAAGCTCGCTTACACGAGCAATATAAGTTCAAAAGCATTTAACAGTATAAGTTCCAAAACTATGCAGTGCAACAGATATTCATGCCATGTGTGTTATAACTATTCTACTAGCTAGAGAAATGCAGGAATACGTCTATTACCTACAGTTAGTACAAGGAACATCGCTTGCACCTCACCCACAGCCTCACCCTCTTGTATGTACCACATACTCAGGCTTACCGTATAGGTGGAACATGTAACACCCCGTGTTAACCCGGTTTGTTAACATGTCATTGTATTAAACCACGCTTAATTACAAATGCAGAATATTCTTTCTCTTTTCAATTATGACATCATTATCCTTACCAAGTTGAATTACTTAATTCATTTCCAAAACATTGCCTGTATGTAAATGCAAAAGACAAACATCTATATTGAAACCTCATAACATAATTAAGATCATTAACTGAGTCTCTAGTCACGGCACTACAACACGTAAGTCGAACAGCCCTAATAGTTTATACAACCCAAATCTAATCAACAACATAATCCAATGTGGCATGAACAATCCACATGCTCACCAAATAAGGCAACAAGGCCCAACAGCAGTCTCAACAACAACAGCATAATCATACAGATACATAACAGCATCCAGCATATAATCATAACAGCAGACATCTAACTCAGCTCCGGCCTCCTGCCGCTAGAGGTCTCAACCCCCGCATTACCTGAACCTGAAATATGTGCCCCAAACGTGGGGTGAGATCTCTAAAAAAAAATCTCAGTAAGACAAGGGGTCCTCAAGGATCTTCCACCCCAAGCTCACTTACATGTGCAATATAAGTTCTAAAGCAGTTTACACAATATATATAGGTTCAGAAGTCAGTGTAATGCAAAGAAAACCATGTCATGTGTGTCAATATAATCTACTGGCTAGAGAAATGCAGGATATACATCTATCTCCTACAAATAGTGCAAGACGCCACTTGCATCCACCCCAGTCTCACCATTTTGCATGACGCTACATACTCAAGCTTACTGTCAAAGTGGAACAACACATGCATATTATAAGGCCCTTACACATAACAGTTCAAAAGCATTCCAATCATCAAAGCATGAAAACACATCATGCATATAAACCATTCCCCCATAGGGTATGGTGGAACCAACAATGGCTAAACCGAGGACACGAAAGCTTACCTTGCAAGCTAACTATCCAATGCCCAGAGTTCACACTAGCTCAAATCCCAAACACAGCAGAATCACAATTTGTTTCGGACCAACAATATATCAATAATCATGCTTAACAAGCATAAGACACAAAGACAACGCCTTTCCTTTACGTTTTACATCTTTAGGCTTCTCACAAAGCCACAAGCCCTTAATCACATAGATTCTGACTTACATTAATCATTACAGAAGTCCACAGTAGCCAATCATGGGTCCACAACCCCAAAATAGCATTCTGTGTGAACAATGCAGCTACTGTTCTTCGAAAACCCAGAATATCCGAATATTTTTCTGGGTCATATCCGGATGTTAATATCTGAATATCTCTCTTCCAATATCCGGATATTTATATCCGGATATTCAGATCCCCATATCCGGATATTCATATTCGGATATCCATATCCGGATATCAATATACGGATATTTCCAACCCAATATCCGGATATTTCGCGGCAGAACTCAGATTCTGCATTTTGTGAAATACCACATCCAAGGTTCCATTTTTAACACTTCAAAACGTTAAAGCATGCATTTTTATACTCTTTTAAGTTCATATACAGATTACATACGTGTTAACTCATTAAACATGCCAAGACACCTCTTTTAAGCATTAAGACTCAAGATTAAGTGAAGGGACATACTCAAGGCTTCAAAACAGAAGCAAAGGCTGCTCTTGGAGCTCACCAACAGCTCCTCAAGTCTGACTTCACAAAGTGCACGAAAATGATGATCAAAGGTTGGTTCTTTGCACTAAAGATGGCTTCTTGAAGCCACACAAGCAAGGAATAATGGCTCCTCCCCCACATGTAGTGAAGTCAGCCTTAGAAACACTAAGGACAGCACCACCAACATAGAAACAAGAGCTCTCACACCCACTCAAGTCTTCCTCAAGCCCAACAATGGTGTTTGTATGAAGGAAAAGTGAAGAAAGATAGTCACTTTGAGGCTCAAGGGAGAAGAAAGCTATGGAAATGGATGAGGAAGGGGCTTTCACCAGAAACCAACGTGGAGGAGGCTGAAGATCAGCCTAGGTTAATGTGCAAGGGTCTATTTATAGGCCAAACTTAATTAATCACACATTATTAGCACTAATAGCTACGCTTATCGTTTTAATCCCAAACTTTGGAATCTGAACCTACTCATTTTTATAAGATTTATCATATTTTTATTTTATTTTTCGCAACACCTTTCCAGTACGCGCTTTTTCATAGCCAGTATCAGTTCTGGCACCAGTTCTCATTATTTTGACTTGAAACTTGTTTTACTAGTCCTACATATTATTCCAAGAATATTCATGCACTTATTATAATTTTTCGGGATACTTCATCAGTACGCATTTATACCGAGTAGCAGAACAGGTATCTGCACTTTTCGTCAGAAAAGCGACTTTCATCAATCTTAATCACTCACCATAATTATTTAAGCCTTCTCATAATTATTAGGGTCAATTATAGAATTATTTTCTAATTCTTATATTTATTTAATTAATTTCCTTAATTAACGGTGCGGGTTCTTACAGAACTCCACATGCATATCATAAAGGCACACACACGTAACAGCTCAACAGCATTTCAACAAATCAATATATCATGAAAACAACATCATGCATATAACCATACCCCCATGGGACATGGTGGAACCAACAATGGCTAAACCGAGGACACGAAAGCTTACCTTGCAAGCGAACAATCCAAGCCAAGAGTCCACACAAGCTCAAGGTCCACACACAGCAGAATCACAATCTGATTAGGACCAGCAATCATATCAATAACTATAGCTCACAAGCATATGCATAAAGACAACATTTTTCCTTTACGTTCTATGTCTTAAGGCTTCTCACAAAGCCACAAGTCCTTAATCCCTTCATTCTGACTTAGATAAATTATTACAGAAGTTCAACTTCATCAATCTAGGGTCTACAAACCCATAAATGCCTTCTGTATGAACAGTACAGCTTCTGTTCTTCGAAAACCCAGAATATCCAGATATTCCTCGAGGACATATCCAGATATTTCCACATCCTAAATCCGGATATCTAGAAACCCATATCCGGATATTTCAAGCCAAATATCTGGATATTTCGCGACAGAATGCAGTTTTGTATTTTCGCGAAGATATCCCTTCAAGGTTCTATTTTTAACACTTCTAAACGTTAAAGCATGCATCTTTAAGTCCATTTAGGTTCATATACCAGTTGGTTACTTAAACAACTCATTAAACATGCCAAGACTCCACTTTTAACCATCAAAACTCATGATCAAGGTTATGGTGCTTATCCAAAAGCTTCAAAATAGAGTCACAAGTGGACTTGGAGCTCCTAAGTCAGTCTACAATTTATGACTTCAACGGAGTACGAAAATGGTACACAAGACTTGGTTTTTCTTTACTAAGGTTGACACTTGGAGCTTCCACTACCAAGATAAAGGCTCCAACACCCCAACCCAAGAACTCAGCCACAAAACCCACAATAAACAGAACCCAAACTCAGAAAAATGGCTCCTCTCCACACTCCCAAGACACAAGCACACTCACACTAGTGTAGTTGATGAAGAAAGTAGAAGGAAATGGCTTCAAAGCTCACAAAATGAAGCAAGTAGGCAATGGAACAGTGTCTAGAGCAACTGGTCAGCCTCCATTCACGTAGGAATTAACAAGGTGCCTAGGGTTTTAGGCCCAAAAGTCATATATATAGTCACTTAAGAATTAAACACACAGTATTACCATTAATTGCTACGCTTAGCATTTTAATCCCAAACTTAGGATTCTGAACCTACTCATTTTTCTAAGATTTATCATATTTTTATTTTATTTTTCGCAGCACCTTTCCGGTACGCGCTTTTCCATAGCAAATATCAGTTATGGCACCAGTTCTCATTATTTTAACTTGAAAATTGTTTTTCAAGTCCTATATATTATTCTAGTAACATTTACATATTTTTCATAATTTTTCGGGATACTTCATCGGTACGCATTTATACCGAGTAGCAGAACCATTATCTGCACTTTTCTTCATAAAAACGACTTTCAGCATTATTACTCACTTACTATAATTATCTAAGCCTCGTAATAAGTATTAGGGTCAATTATGGAATTATTTCCTAATTTCACATAATTAATTAATTAACTTCCTTAATTAACGGTGCGGGTTCTTACACAGCGAACTTGTCAAAGCGGTCAGCATTTATTGCAGCCAAGTTCGCTACTCCAGGTAGCAAACTTGTGCACCACCAGGAACGTGACACATCAGCAAACAGAGTTCGCTACAGTGCCCAGCGAACTTGTCCACGTGACATATTGAGAAATAACATTGATAGTGTGGCATTTAGGTAAAAAAGATAGAAAACAATGACATTTTGGTCACTGTTCTAATATTATAACTATATATTATTCGTAATACATCATTATTATTATTTTTAAAAAAAATCTTTTTCAACAATATATGAGAATGATTACCCTATTTTGTATCGATAATGATGATACATAAACTATTTATTAGGTGTAATTTACTCAGTTGGAAGAAAGTGGAAAGAGAGAGAATCCTTGTCGTCAACTCTGCTTCCACAAGAAAGCCACAGCATATTCAAAGCGACATGATAAGATCCTCAAGAAACTAATTAAAACAAGCAGAGAATAATATAACAAGGCCCTCACCCTTACTTCACTACTGTTTCCACAACTGAACCAACCTATTCAAAGCACTATGAGAAGATCCACCGTGTGCTCTTGCTTCCACTGCACTTATTTTTATATTGAAAATTCTTTGCCTAATCTCTTTTCCTTTGTTCGAGTCCATGAGTTCCTTAACTCGGTCTCCCAACTCAGCTGCACTCACGAATCCATCTTTGGACTCATTCAGTGCCAAAGCCACCTTCATTTCCTGAACCAAAATCACTCTGTTCATCTTTTGCTCTGCATACAGAGGCCACGTCACCATTGGCACACCTTCACAAACAGCCTCCAGCACTGAGTTCCACCCACAGTGAGTCACGAACCCACCCACCGAGTCATGACTCAGAATTGCAGCCTGTGGAGCCCAGTTCCTAACCACCATTCCCCTCTCCTTGGTTCTCTCCAAAAACCCTTCTGGCAGCAACTCGTTCAAACTCGGTTGTTCCGAGTTCACCCCTTCTGACTCGCTCCTCACAACCCACAAAAACCTTTGGTCACTTTTCTCCAACCCAATAGCAATCTCCTTCAACTGAGTCCTCGAAAACCTTCCCATGCTTCCAAAACTCAGCAACACGACGCTTTGACTCGGTTGCGAATCGAGCCAACTCAAACACCCACTCTCATCTCCTCCACACGTGGCTGAAATCACGGGTCCGATGCAGAACAACGGTGGCATGGTTCCTTCTTGCACGCACAACCCTTCACTTAAGGCTCTAATAGCTCTTCCTTCAATAGCATCAAATGTGTTTACGATAATCCCAACACTCTCCAACATAACGTGTCCCATATCAAGGTAAACCTGGTAAAACGCAGGGTCCTTCGCTTCATCAGGTAGTTCTTCTGTGGAAAAAGTAGGTAAACCGGGTATTTGAAGATACATGTGATGGTCTTTGAAGGATTTTGTGGTATTTTGGAGAATGGTTGGATAGTGAAGCAAAACAGCAAGAGTAGAGGCTCCTGAAGTGTAGTAAAAGTAAGAGGGGATGTTAAGGGTGTTGGTGACTTGTGTGGCGCTGTAGTTGAAGAAGTCCAAAACAATGGCTTTGAGATTGGAGGTTTTGGAAATGGATTGAAGGACATGGTGAACGTGTTGGTTGCTGCGGCTGCAGAGCTCGAGGGTGAGATGGTGAGGTGGGAGGGAGGTGCTGGCGGGGAATGATATGGTGGGGATGTGGTGGAAAGTTATGGAGGGTACGGTGGCAGATACGGTGGAAATGTATTTAGCGGTGGCGTCACAACCTAAGGTGATGGTGGAATGGGTGTCTTTGTTGTTGTTGTTGTTGGGTTGGTTAAGGATAAGAATCGTGATGGAGAAGGAAGGGTTATGGGTTAATATGAGCTTGCCTAACTCAACCATGGAGTTTACGTGTCCACTGCCGAGGGCAGGATATAGAACTATTGAGTCTTTCATGTTTGAAGAAGATGAAGATTGTTTCAAATGAATTGATCCAATGAAGTTGTGAGTGAGAGAGGCTACCTCTATTTAAGTGCGGTGTACGATGTGCGGCTGAGAAATCATTTATTAAAAGTAGTGATATTAGCATTAAAATATTTGTTTTGCTTTATTATCATTCTCGAATCTCGGATAATATAATGCATATAGAGAGAGAGATCCGTGAACTATCTGAGCTCTTTATTTTTTTTGTTTGGTTACTACTTTTGCAAACTTTTGAATCATATTTTTTTTTTTTTTTTTTGGAAAACTTTAAATCATATTTTAAGTTTTAAGTCCACTTCGTAACTTTTTCTAGAAAAGAGAAGTTTTGAGGTAGGTTATGTTTATAATTATTATTTTATTAAATTAATAATTATAAAATGACATAACGGATAATTATTGATTTGATTTGGATATAACGAATATAAAAAATAATCATAAGAGGCTCTAATTATAATTTATCCTTTTATTTGAATTAATGTTTATTTACAGTTTCTTAAAAAAAATTAATTGTTAGATTAAAATCAAATCAACAGCTCTTACTTAATATTATTTTATAATCATTGATTTGATTTTAATTCAATAATAAAAAAATGGTAGTAAGAAATTGTATAGGAAAATAGGTTATAAATATAATCTTTTTCAAAAAAATATAATTAATTAGGATAGGTTATGTTTATCACTATTTTTTCTTATCATCTTTTATTACCAACTTTATTATCATTGAATCAAAATAATAATAATTTATAAAATAACAATAAGTGAGAGTTGTTGATTTGATTTTATTCCAACAACAACAAGATTGGTAATAAGTAATAATGAGTGATGAAAAAATATGATAAATATAACCTTCGTAATTAATTAATGAAAGTTACTCATAACAGTTATAAACTTTTATTATCTGATATTTTAAATTTTTGTTATCCAGTTTGTGATTAGAAAAAGTAATGCAATATTCATTTGTTTGAAAAGAGTATCAAAATATATCCTGAAACATGAATTCATATATTTTATGTGAGACTTATTACTTTTGAACGGAGAGAAAAAGCGAAGTGAAAGGGTGCCTTGAATTTTTCTTTTTTCTTTCTTTTTTTGTGCGATATGTTATCTCTCACATCAATTTTCAAAGATGTTGGGAGATTTATCCTTGTCATGATGGTATAGTGGCGATTTAACCCCACTTAAACTTTCATATACTAAAAATAATAATTGTATCAATTTAAGTATAAAAAATGTCATTATTATTTAAACATAAATCGTGCTATATATCAATTACGAACTAACGTAGCATTTAACTAATAAATACTAATATATTTTTTTTAAAAAAAACAAAGAGATGTTTTTCTGACACCATCAAATTTGAAATGATACCGATACCTTCTAGAATAGGTGTTAATAATTTAATTAGAAATAATTTTTTTTTTCATTTCACTATTTCCTTTAATTTTTTTTCTCGATTTTATAAAATATTTTAATATTTCACTAGGATTTAAAGTTTCTGAAATTATTTTAGATTATATTATATAATATTCATCAAAATACACATAAAAAAATACGTGAAGTCTATATGAATTTAGTGAAGAAAAAGAGAGAGAAAAATAAATCTTACACACTTTTTATATGTATTTTGATAAATATTAAATAAAATTATCTAAAATAATTTTTAGAAATTTTACTCATTTCACTACTACTCTAAGAAGTTCAAGGATATTAACATAATAGTAAAATAATAAAAACCGTAATTCTGTTTATGAAACAAGAGCAACACTCTCTTTGTCGTTCACTGCCTTCAATTCGTTCACGGGACACCTCACTTACGACTGAAATTCAGGGTTTGTTCGATTTGTGAGTTTGTTTGCTTTCACTTCTTTGGTCCATTATCGTTTTATGCATTGTAGGATTTCTAGTATCATCCATCATAAAGGTTAATGTGTAAAAAAAAAAAAAAGGTTCTAGATACCACCATGCATTAATTTACTACACAACAATCTATCAACTCAACAATACTATTTAGTGGGTCCTGAATCTCCTGATGATTCTTCTCATCACAATCACACTCTTGTCTCTTACGAATGACCACTGAAAAAGAAGCAGTAGCTCCTGTTGTGTGCGTCTGCTTGTTAGTGCGTATGTTTGTTTCGTGGGCTGCTAATGTTAAACGATCTGCAACCAAAATTTAAAGAGAAATTTAATATTTTGTTAATTACTCAATAATTTATCAAAGGTTATTGATAATTTAAAAAAAAAACAAAAAAAACTTAAAGCGACAAGGAACAAGTTATCACAGTAACGGAGCCAAAAATTTCATGATCAGAAGAGTCAAATAATATATACCTTTTAAAATTTATAATTAAAATAAAAAAATTACATAACTACAATTTTAAAAATTTATTACAAATTTAAGACTACTTCAGTTAGCTTTTGTTTTATATTATTTCGTATTGTTGAACTTTTTATAATTAAATATGTATTAAATTTTATAATAGTTCCTTTTTTAATATATATATATATAATCACACGCTTATTAAAAAATTGAATTTTCTGTTGGCTTGCTGAGCTCACTTCTTTTTCCGAATTTTTTAGAACTTAGCACGTCCTCTTTAATTTATCTGGAAAAGCATGATGTTGCTATATTTTATGCTCCCGTTAAGCCCATGGAAGAAAAAAAAAACTTACTAACTGTGATTAAAAAAATAAAATGTTCATAAACCCGGTTGTGATTTACTATTTATCACTTACATCTCTATGTTTTTTTTGTTATCACTCACTACTAGAAAAGTTTCATTAAACGAAATTTATCGATGAAAAATATTTCATTGCAAAGAGTGATAAAATTTTTGACGAAAATCCAATTCCATAAAAAATAGAGATGGAAAATATTTCTATCGAAAATAGAGACAAAATTTATTGACAAATACCTTCTCGTCGAAAATAGTAATGAAAATTCTCAAAAAAAATATAATTCAATTAAAATTTTTGACGGAAAATCAAATTTGTAGAAATTTGCAACAAAATTTTTGAATGGATAAAAAATTGTCTAAAATTTTGAATAAAAACACAATCAACGTGATGTCTCATTAGCTTGGATAATTAAATATTGTTGACGGAATATTTTTCATTAAAATTTGCAACGAAATTTAAATTCCGTTGCAATCCATTGCGAATTTTGACGAAAAAAATTCGTGGAAAATTTTGAATAAAAACTCAACCTGCATGAATCCTCATTAGCCAATGGGAACGCTTGAATAATATAATGTTTGTGATAGAAATTTTTTTATGTCAAAATTTTCAAATGACTTTTTCCCTTGGAAATTTTTTTTTCTATTGAAATTTACAACGGAATTTCAAATTTGCAACAGAATTAAAATTTTGTTGTAAATTTTAAAAAAACAAATTTCGTTGAAAATTTTGGATAAAAACACAATCCGCGTGAAACCTCATTAGTCAATGAGAACACCTGAATAATTTAATATTTTTGATGGAATTTTTTAAGACGAAAAATATCAATTTGGACGGAATATTTTTAGACGAAAAATTCCGTTGATCCATCAAAAAATGTGTTGCAAATTCCATTGAATAAAAACACAATCTACTGCAAATTTCGACCGAAAAAAATTCCGTCGACTTTTGACGAAATATTTTTAGACTAAAAATTCCATTGAAAATTCAGTCAAAAAATGCATTTTCGACGAAATTTTCATTGTTTGAATGGAAAAATTTTTATCGAAAATATGAATTTTTCTAGTAGTGAATTACCCATCTATGATTTTATTTTATTCAAGTCCACCTTTAGCACTATTATGAATTGAACTGACTTGCCCATTTTATCCCGAATTTACTTGTTAATTAATCCGATATAAAAATTTTGGGCACCAACAATAAACAAGCAAAACTTAGTCCATTATAAAGACATGAAGAATAATCATGTGTCCTGTCCTTTTCAAAAATTTCATAGGATGGACATATTATCTCTAAAAAAATCACATAAAAATATTAACATTCTAAATTTTGTATGTAACCATTTTTAAACAGGGATCTTTCTTTTATTAATCTTGAACCAATCCCCCATGATTTGACAAGTAGATACTGTTTTATTCTATCATAACAATATTATTTATATGTCACTTATATTATTTTCTTATATTTTATACTATATTTTAGGTTTTATATATTATATATATATATATATATATATATATATATATATATATATATATATATATATATATATTCAACATTTTTTCTGTTTTTGAATATAAAAAAGTATAAGATCATAGGAATCATTTCATTTTTCAGAATATAATATTAATATTAAATTGTATAGATAAGAGGTAAAAGGTAAAAGAGACCCTTAATAGTAATTGCCAATTCCACTACTTGCTCCAACACTTCCCTTCACTAATTCTCATCTTCTCTTTACTTCACAAGGCCATTAGCTCTAAGCTCGAGTCTCCCTACCTTGTCATCGACTTGGTGATCATTTTCAATCACAATAATGTCTCTTTAGCCTCATCATTGCATCTCTGATCGCCTTGTGCACATCTCGTGCCCATATTCCCAACATTTCCCAGTCTTTCCATCGCCGTAAATATGACGAATCCACTGACAACCGTTTAGGTAGATACCACCCAGAGGATGGTAGGCTTATAAGGTATGGCGTGTGGGATGCCATTTATGAAGACCTGGGGCTGTATAAGATACCGCTTGCGTGGTGGCCTTCCTCTTTAAGCTATTCATATTTTTACACATCAAGCTCTTCGGAAACCTCTGACTCTTCTGGTAAGTTTCTTATGTTTAAGTTGTTTTTTGATTGAGTTATTGGTAAGGGGATGCCGGTGGTCCAGGGAGTAGGAGTTGGGTGATATGGAGGATTGGAGTTTGACTCTTTGTTGATCTTCTTGGCGTCGGTTGAAGTGTTTGGCGATTGATTGTGTGTTTGTCGCTCCCAGGTTTGATTTGTGGGTATTCTCTTGACTAATGGCGGTTGCGCAAGATCACGAACGCTTCTTGGCGAGGGATTGGGTAGACCCGATGGTGGCATATTCTTCATCTTGTTATACTA